ACCAGAAGAAAAGCTAAATCTGGTGGGACCAGACTTCCAGCAGCAAGAGATTGCAATACTTAAATTATTTTTGTCAAGCAGAATGGGAAAAGTTTATTTTATCTCACACATGCGTGCACACACACACTTCTGAAGCCTACATTTTAAGCTTTGAGTAGTCACTGTGTTACAGTCCATTTACTTTCCCTATGTATATTTCAACATGTGTAATTTAGGATTAAAAACAGACTTACTCCAGAGAACATAATGTAGAATGAAGCAAATTTAAAGGTTTAACATAAAGACTTTTTTAAGACCCCATGCATAGCAACCCCTGACATAAATGAACATTTTGCTTGTGTAAGAACTGCAATGGGATTTATTCTCTGCGTTAGCTTGTCTACACCATACAAGATGGGGGAGACCTTTACTGCTGTAGGACAGAGGAGATCTTGGAAAGCAGATAACTGAGGATAAATTAAAGGAGATATGATCATTGCAGAATGAGCTTAAAGTAACTGTTTCTTTTCCTTTTTATCTTCTCTCAGGTTATTCTGTTTTAATCTTCATTTATGTATTTCAGTTATTTCAGACTTTCAGAACATGTTCATAACTTTTTATATAAGTATTATAGATTTATTGGTACTTAGCTCCTGCTACTATAACAAAATCCCTAGTTGGCTATCTCTAGGACTTGAAGCTAGGCCTCTGGATCTAATAGCACAAGTGTCAACTGCTTGAGCTAACGGGCCAGATCCATGAGCTCAAAGGCAGTAGTACTCCATGAGTAGTAGACTCAAACCTTCCTATGCGAGATAGCTACTAGAAAGAGACAAAGAGCCATGCTGTGTTAGTATATAATATTCCAGAGCTCCACTCTTGTCAGTTCCTGCTCACGCGTAATATCACCTGGCTCCCTACAGTACCTTCCTGCTTGAATATTTCAAGTTAAAATTTTACCACACCCATGTTAGCCAAATATGAAAGTTTGGTCCAAATTAATCCCAGGTATGACCCCAGCTCTTTGATTGAAAGACCTATGAGGCTTTATAGATTTACTTACAAAAAAACCTGCATCAAATCCAATTTGCTCTTCAGTCCCTTGATAACAACTACAAAGAATTAGGCTTAAGCAGTCATAGAATCATAGAATATCAGGGTTGGAAGGGACCTCAGGGCCAAGCTCCCATTTTTGTCCCAGATCCCTAAACAGCCCCCTAAAGGATTGAACTTACAACCTTGGGTTTAGCAGGCCAATGCTCAAACCACTGAGCTATCCCTCCCCCCATAGAACTACTAAAAAATAAATTACACTTTATGCAGAGAGAGAAGCGTAAGTATATCTTCCTGTCGGGTTCAGTCAACTACACTATCATTTAAAATGAATGTCTTATGCCTCCTGAAGAAAGTAAAATTGTAAAGCCCTTAGAAACCCACAAGTTGCTGTAAACAACATAACATCTATCACAGTCTTTCCTCTCAGATAATAGGTAAGTAACCAGAGAAATTATGGAATTTTTCAAGACCATTTGTCAGTATGCAGTGCTGGTGGCTTGAAAGAAGACTACTGAAAATGGGAAAGTTAATAAACCATGAACTAGGAATTTCAGTCACATCTGTGGTCCTTGGAAAAGAGACTGAAACCAAAATGAAATGAAAATAGAATCCAGACCTCTTACCTTGGGTCTGCTGATTGTCTGCTGATTGCACAGATTCCGGAGGCGCTTATCCTACAATGACCAATACCACTACTAAGAGGGAAAGTCAAATAAAAGTAACATTCTTGGTAATAGTCTCCCATTCTAATAATTCTGGTCAATCTCCTTTTCAGCAGGGACCTAGAACTCATACTCTAAAACCAGCCTGTTCCAAAGCATTTGCAGGTAGCCGCTTTTCTTACAGACTAATTGCATGTGCCACATCCTAATTTTGAAATCTTTGACAACAGTGGCCTTTAAACAAGACTCCTTTCTTCTAGCATCCAACTCGGTGAATAAAATATAGTTCCTCCATTAGGAATCCAAAATCACTAGCTACGTCACAAAAGAGCAAACTCCTCTTGATATTATCTTAGTCTTCTGAATATCTATAGTCCACAGTACAAGAAAGAAACAAGCCAAGCATGCAATACAAAGAAATGAGCAAGTAACATCATAAATCTTGGTCATATGCTTACCCACAAAAAATATTTATAGGCATGTAAACTTTAGACAATACAAATGGTCTTCCTGTAGTGGAGAGTTGGTGGTTAACATTAAAAATGTCAACATTTCTCAGCAATTACAAACCTGTAATATTTTGATGTACTGTAATTATTACATATTCTAAGATATATTATACTTTTATCTATCAGATACCACTGTAGCATAACCATAAGTAAATTAATTTTTAGTTGTGATACAAATACAGGGCAGATTTAGCATCTGCCTTTGCCATGTGGTTGCTTTTTACCTATTAAAATTTTGAGAATAAAACAGAAAAAATGTCTAAGTTTTGAACAGACTCTACTTCTGATGAAGATAATGACGAAGAAGACTCCTAGCTCATGCACAGCTTTGCTGGGGAAAGCCTTCAGGGTGAAAATCCACATATGTACACTTCTCAGTGTTCATATTCATTTATATGATATAAATTAAGATCACACAAGAAATAACTGATTTTTTTTAGTGTCAGAGTTTTAAAAATATCCTCTCTGTGAAATGTTTAATTTTTTTATTATCCCAAACTTTTCTTTTAGCATGATTTTTTGTGTGTGGTTGTGATGGTGTGATGAATGAGGTCAAATTAATTCACTAAGCTAACACCTTCTCAAGATTCCTTCAGATCAGCTTGAGTGAACCCAATTAAATACAACTGCCAGCCTTATAGCTGCCTCAGTAGTAGCAACTGTATCTAGGAATGTGGACACCTCAGAGAAGTGATAATACCTGAACAGGACACCTAGTGGTCTGGCATATTTTTGTACTCCTGGCAGGTTGCCTTCTCTCTTGAGCCCATGTACACACTTGCTCCTTCATTTTTTAGAGAAAGGTGCACCAGAAAATATAGCCAGACTGAGAGGGGAAATGTGAGTTTTAGAAGCTCTTATCCAAGGACTGATCGTCTTCATATCTTGTTTTTGCTGAACCACTCTGCCATTGGCAACTATCTATATGTCTGAGTTTCCCAGAGCGGGATACAAAAACCCATGAAGTTCCTTTCTCTCCAGCCTGGTTTTAAACCCTTTTGACCAGGCATCTTCCCGCCTCTCTTTTGTTGTGCAACTGCAGGCATCATACTTACCCATTCTCTTGGTCTGTAGATGATGGAGGTAGAGCTCCATGTTACTGTGCTTTCCTCATCCGGCTACCAACGAAAGGTCCTTTCATAATAAACCTAGGACTGAAGACAAAAGTAAATAAGTGACTCTTGCAATGGAAGAGAGAGAAAAGATTGTTGGGTCTAAAAATAAACAAAGGAAAATGTAAAGAAAAATCAAATGTTAATCGATTTTCCATGACCTCTGAAGCAGATGAAAATATTTTGTTGCAGCTTTATTGAAACTGTGTTGTAATGGTTATTTGGTTTTGTATAATGATTATTTGGTTGTGTGTACGTGTATGGTTTTGTTCTGTTTTTTAATTCACAGGAAGAGGTTTAAACATGAAGGCAAACCTTTCAGACGTTAGCATGGCTGCACATGAAGCAAAGCTGCCATATTTCTTTTTCTTTTCTGTGCCTCCATTTCGACTTATTACATAATTTAAGGGAAAAGTTTAACCACAGGAGCTCTAACTGTAGTATGAAAAAAAAAACTTGATGAATTTTGTTTCCGCAGCACGATATTATCAAAGATTTAAGAAACAAATTTGCCAGCCCCAGCGAGAACTCTCTGGTAACAGCATAAATGTCTGTGTTGGTTTGCTTTTGATTTTAAAGTTTCTTTTTTCATTCATTTGAACCCATTTTATTTTTTACCTCTTTTTAGTTTTTATTTTTCATGGTCTGTATCTAGCAAGCCTTCATTTTTTAAACCTCTTCCATCTTCCAGTGTCTATTTTCTGTACTTTGGATGGAAAGTTTATGGCAGCAAAGCTGTCACTCTGGCTACTTCTGCTGCAGCTGTTCCTGCTCTTAGGTCATATGTGTTTTGGCCGTTGTGTTTTTGGGCATGATACTAATTGATGGTGTCATGCCCCATTGACTACGCTTTTCTACCACGCCATCCGATGGACTCGTAGTCATAGGGCTCTATGCAACTTCCATTTTGCAACTTACGCTGCTTAGTCATTTTCAATTCTCCAGCAACCTTCAGTTATCCTTGTGAAAGCTCATACCCACCTGGAATTAGCTGTGCCTCTATGTTTTCTCTTTATGTTTTCAGTAGTTTAAATAATGAAGAGCAAACTTCAGCCATTGCTCAAGCAGCACCATGCAGTATTGTTTGTTGCCACCAGAGAATGCAAAATATAAAGGCACAATGTATTCTGTCTTATATCCTTTTGGGATATGTGGGTTAGGGAAATCTATCTCGTATTATAAGTCAGCATCTTACTTGAAATATACAACTCTGCCTATTATTCTTTCTTGAACAAATTTTCCCAGATGAATGAAGCTCCCGATGAAGCTATTCTATCATTCAGGGACAACTTGCACATCAAGAGCCATGTGCTGAGCAGTATCAAGTTATGGTCATGCTGTAGAAGATTATTAAGAGAGTACAAAGTGTTGCACAAAACATAGCACAGAAGTGCAAGTTTGATACATGCAGTACATATATACTGTGAATATGGGCTTTGAACTAACCAAATGATTTACAATTGAGAGAACTCCTTCCCGATAAACAAAGGACTAAAAGGATAAAAAGAAAAACACAGAGGGAAATATTGAACATGTTAAATATTTGTTCAGTAGCATTGTGTGTGCGTTGAATAGGTCTATGATGTTGCATTAGAGCCCATATACTAAGAGATAACAAAATATCTTTGGCGAGCTGATGGTCATTGAAGTCCTCAACTTAAATGATTGGCATTTCTGTTCAGGAAAAAGAAATGGAAAAACAGAAGCTTCTGTACCAGCAAGCAAGACTGCATGATCGGGGTGCTGCAGAGATGGTGCTTCAAACAATCAGCGCCAGCAAAGGTAAAGACCTACCGCTTATGTACATATACAATCTTTGGGATTATTTTTTGAAGATTTGTTGGCTCTAGAACTTGCTCCTTGTAATTATTGGTGGCTACACCTTAAATTAGGTTCATTTTCAAATAAATACCCCAAATTTAGGTGATGATTAGAAGTTGATTCTGCAAAAGTTTGCTGAAAAACAATCACAAGAAATTTTCTTGTGGTATTTTTGTATTCCTGGCCCTGGCTGGAGCCCAGATGATGTAGAAATGAGTGAAAGATGGTGGGGAGGTCATTGATGTGCACTGGGAATGTGTAATGACAAAGTGAGGCTCCAGAATTACCGGGATTTATATGTCTGTGCACTTAGCACAGGCTCTGATTCTTTTCTGAACAAGTTCACCCATGCCCGTTTATAATCAGTTCATCCCCTGCCTCGTCGATATCCTTTCACTGTATATTGCTAAGAAGTATAACTTTTTAGGCTTCTGTTCATCAGGCCTACAGGTGCAGTTTGGGAGGGAGTAGGGGGGTGTTGCCCACCCCCAAAACGGCAAGCCTCAGGCAGGTGCGGAATTTGCCCTTCCATGCATGGCCCTATTGGCTGACTGGAGCTGTCTCACCAAATATAGAAGTCAAACTACACCTATGATTAGGCCCCTTCTTTCACCAATCATTTCTCCTTGTCATCTACCTTTCTGTGCTGTGTCTACTGCACTATTACTTAAACAACTCTCTCCTTCATAAGCAAAACTAACCAACTTTCCTCTAGCTATTATATTTAAATTCTTCACCGCACAGTTAGTCCTTGAGGAAGTATCAAAGTTTTGTCTATGTGGGCATACAGTAAGAACGCATTGTTAAACTGAAAAGGCAGTTTTAAATTATGCATCCAACCTCAGAACCAGCTGCTCAAGGCTGTCATGACTGAAGAGTAATTTATATTCTTTGATGACAATTCTTCATGTCTTTCATCTTTTTCTTTCCTTTTTAATACAGTCTTTATCTATGTATTCTTAGTGAGTATGAGGGCTAGTCTACACCAGATGCGCTACATCTATGCAGCTGTGCCGCTATTGCATGTCTGGTGAAGATGCGTTATGCTAATGGGAGACAGCTCTCCCGTTGGCATAATTACTCTACCTCAGCAAGAGGAGGAGAGCATCGCTCGCGACATAGTGCTGTCTACACTGGCACTTAGGTTGGTGTAACTTGTGTTGCTCAGGGAGGTGGCTTTTTCACACCCCTGAGCGACAAAAGTTATATTGACAAGCAGTAGTGTAGATCTGGCCTAAATCACACAATAGATATGGTGAAGGAAAAATGTGTGTGTCTGTTTTACAAGAGAGATTATTTAAATGATCCTCTCCTGTAAACTTCCATGTAAATCACTCCATGCTGTGCACATTCTAAGGCAGGGTAAGTTAGAATAGGTTGGTTGGTTGGTTGTTTTTTTAAATATGAACTTAAAATAATGGTTTAATATTTTCAAGGTGAGATGGGTCCCATGGTTGCAGCCACCTTAAAGCTTGGGATTGCCATCTTAAATGGAGGAAATTCTACAGTTCAACAGGTAAAGTGTTTGAGGGTAAACCATTCCATTCTATCCAATCTATTCCATGTAGGTTCTTAATAGACATTTGTCACTGTAGTATCTGAATGCCTTCCAGTAGCACATTACGTGATGTGACTAACATTGGTCATGTGTTATGTGTTCTGCCTTCCTCTCCCAAGGGGAGAACTGTGCAGTGGAGTTTCTTGTTTTGGTGGGTTTGTTTTTTTATTGTTTTTTAAATATACATGTTGCTGTGTGTTTATGTGAAAGCAGAAAAGGTCAAAGAAATGGAGCTAACATTTGGAATGGAAGACAGGTTTGTCATGGTCCTTAGCTCCTGGGGGAGTTAACACCAAAGTCTCAGACTGGCTCCCTTAGGCAGTTTTATCCCACTCGCAGATGAGCTTTACCTTTATTATATGTAACCCTTCTGCCCGTCAGAGTTGGCAGCAACAAGGGCCGGGTTCAATATCTAGGGGATCCATTCCAATAACACAATGCAAACCGGCTCGAGCCCCCACCCAGTGACCTGGGACAAATATATACTACCCCCGCTGGGTGCCTCCAAGAGGCAATACTTCCCCTCTCGCAAGCACATAGTCTGAGTGTAGCAAAAAGTCTTTTAATAACAGAGAGAAACAATGTGGCCTTATGTTGGGGAAACACCACCAACAGGATTCATAACACAACCCATGAGCAAAAAACCCACCCCAAGCAAATTGGGGCATGCCCTTTCCCTTTGGTTCTTGAGTCCAGCAACCCCAAATCACCCAAAGACACAAAAGTCCAATGACCCAAAAGTCTCTGTCCCTGGTCAGGGCAGCCCCAGAGTTCAAAAGTTAATCTACAGAGCTTTACCTCCCAACCTGGGTGGAGATGGGGGCGGAGGTAAGAGGCACCTTACATGATCTGAAGCTGACCGCCCCACAGCTCCATAGGCCTTCGCTCCGCTCGCCGCCCCACGAACTGCTTCGCTCAGCTCCGCTCTGCGGCCCACAAGCAGCTCCCACCGTCCTATGAACTGCTCCACCAGCCTGTCCACGAGGCACTCCAGCCGTCCCACAAACGGCTCCGCAATATATCTTTAGGCTCCCCCACTACTTAACACAACGTTCAGTGATTTCAGCTCTTAGTCAGTTCAGCTCTTTGGTGAATTCAGCTTGTAGTAGGGGAGCCTCAGTGCTGGTGCACTATTAGCCCAAAGTGAGCTCAGCAGCATGTAACTAGACTTCTAATGAAATCAAAGTTAGCTCTGATATTCCACAGTGGAGAGAGGAGGAAGTGCAATTAGCATGTAAGGCCCTCACCAAGGGGCCCATGCCACCAAGTATTAATACTTGTCCCCAGCATCTCTCAATTCACAGAGTTTTGGAACCCATGACCCTTGCCGAGCGAGTGCTACTTAGTTGATGGTGAGTCCCTCCATCATAACAAAAGGCCAAGTACAGTTCCAAGCACAGTTCCCATAATCAGGGTAATAACAATTTATTCTTCCTGCCCCAATAACAAAGACACTGGGGATCCCACAGCAGCCAAAGTGACCATTTGGGCAGCTATGGCCTCATTCTAGGTGGGGTGGGTGTGCCTATGCAAATGAGATCAGCCCCTGAAGTTCTTTTCCACAACTTGCCACACCTCACCACCAGATGTCAGGGTGGAGCTCATCCTGACTCTGCTTACATATACAAAGTTTTATTGTGCCAGAGGAGTGTGGCTGTCAACCACAGTCTTCATCCCAGATCTTTAGGTAGTCTTAGATATCCTGGTCCGAGGCCATGGAGCACCCTGAAGATGGGACCAAGACCTTGAACCTGATTTGAAATTCTAGAGAAGGCAGCGTAGACAGTGGAAGGTGGGTTTGATGGGCCTTGGTAGCCAGTGTTGCTGAGGAAATGTTCTGTACTAGTTAAAGTTTCCTAAACACAAAAGGTTTCATTCCCAAATACATCACATTGCTGTAATCCAACCGAGCAGTGATGAGAGTGTGAATAACTGAGGCCATGTTACTGTCCGCCAGGATGGCACAGTCTCTTCTGGTCAACTAAAGGAGGTAGAAAGTGTTACTTGTGGATGCTGTTATGCGAGACTCTGGCATCGGTGAGGAATCCAAGTGCACTGCTAAACTATAGATTAAATTGTCCAGTTGTGGATGTGGGCCTTCATCTAATGGAGACTGTGCAGTGGCTGCATGCTATTCAAAATGCTTTTGTCTGTCCACTAGCATTACCTCTGTCTTCCTCAGATTCTGCTTCAACCTGCTATTCTTCCTCCATGATCTGAGCTAGTTCAAGCACTGGGCCACTGTGGTAGTGATGGAGTGGTCATATATGGTGAAAGATAGGAGGATCTGGTATCAGGGGGTAGCTGTGTTAGTCTGTATCCACAAAAACAACAAGGAGTCCAGTGGGACCTTAAAGACTAACAGATTTATTTGGGCATAAGCTTTCGTGGGTAAAAAACCCCACTTCTTCAGATGCATGGAGTGAAAATTACAGATGCAGGCATTATTATACTGACACATGAAGAGAAGGGAGTTACCTCACAAGTGGAGAACCAGCGCTAACAGGGCCAATACAATCGGGGTGGATGTAGTCCGCTCCCAATAATTGATGAAGAGGTGTCGATTCCAGGAGAGGTAAAGTTGCTTTTGTAGTGAGCCAGCCACTCCCAGTCCCAATTCAAGCCTAAATTAATGGTGTTAAATTTGCAAATGAATTTTAGTTCTGCAGTTTCTCTTTGAAGTCTGTTTCTGAAGTCTTTTTTGTTCAAGTATGGCTAGTTTTAAATCTGTTATAGAATGTCCAGGAAGATTGAAGTGTTCTCCGACTGGCTTTTGTATGTTACCATGCCTGATGTCTGTTTTGTGTCCATTTATTCTTTTACATAGAGACTGTCCGGTTTGGCCAATGTACGTGGCAGAGGGGCATGGCTGGCACATGGTCGCATATATCACATTGGTAGATATGCAAGTGAATGAGACCCTGATGGTGTGACTGATGTGGTTGGGTCGTCTGATGGTGTCGCTAGAGTAGATATGGTGACAGAGTAGGCAACAAGGTTAGTTACAGGGATTGGTTCCTGGGTTAGTGTTTCTGTGGTGTGGTGTGTAGTTGCTGGTGAGTATTTGCTTCAGGTTGGGGGGCTGTCTGTAAGTGAAGACTGGCCTGCCTCCCAAGGTCTGTGAGAGTGAGGGATCATTTTCTAGGTTAGGTTGTAGATCGTTGATGATGTGCTGGAGAGGTTTTAGCTGGGGACTGTATGTGATGGCCAGTGATGTTCTGTTGTTTTTCCTGTTGGGCCTGTCCTGTAGTAGGCGATTTCTGGGTACCTGTCTCGATCTGTTAATCTGTTTCCTCACTTCCCCAGGTGGGTATTATAGTTTTAAGAATGCTTGATAAAGATCTTGTAGGTGTTTGTCTCTGTCTGAGGGATTGGAGCAAATTCAGTTGTATCTTAGGGCTTGGCTGTAGACAATGGATCGTGTGGTGTGTCCTGGATGGAAGCTGGAGGCATGTAGGTATGTATAATGGTCAGTAGGTTTCCGGTATAGGGTGGTGTTTATGTGACCATCACTTATTTGCATTGTAGTGTCCAGGAAGTGGATCTCTTGTGTGGATTGGTCCAGGCTGAGGTTGATGGTGGTGTGGAAATTGTTGAAATCCAGGTGGAATTCTTCAAGAACCTCCTTCCCGTGGGTCCATATGATGAAGAGGAGGGGCACTAGGGGACGAGAGCTGAGGAAGAGTTGTTCTAAGTCAGCCATAAAAATGTTGGCATACTGTGGGGCCATGCGGGTACCCATAGCAGTGCCGCTGACTTGAAGGTATAAGTTGTCCCCAAATCTGAAATGATTGTGCGTGAGGACAAAGTCAGAAAGCTCAGCTGCCAGGTGTGCCGTGGCCTCATCAGGGATACTGTTCTTGACAGTTCGTAGTCCATCCTCATGAGGAATATTGGTGTAAAGAGCTTCTACATCCATGGTGGCCAGGATGGTGTTTTCAGAAAGCTCACCAATGCATTGTAGTTTCCTCAGGAGGTCGGTGGTGTCTCAAAGATAGCTAGGAGTGCTGGTAGCCTAGGATCTGAGGAGAGAGTCCAAATAGCCAGATAATCCTGTTGTAAGAGTGCCAATGCCTGAGATGATGGGGCGTCCAGGATTTCCAGGTTCATGGATCATTGATAGCAGATCGAATACCCCTGGTTGGGGTTCGGGAGAGGGGGGGATGTCCATGTAGATTTGTTCCTGTGCTATAGCAGGGAGTTTCTTGAGCAGATGGCGTAGTTTCTTTTGGTATTCCTCAGTGGGATCGGAGGATAGTGGCCTGTAGAATGTGGTGTTGGAGAGTTGCCTGGCAGCGTCCTGTTCATAATCCGACCTGTTGATTATGGCTACAGCACCTCCTAGGGATAGATAGGGGGATCTGTATGTCATCTCCATTTTGCAGATACTTGAGTCCATGTCAACTGATGAGTTCACCTAGTGGCTTCATGTAGATGTTAAAAAGGACCAGAGAGAATGAGAATATTGATCCTTGTGGGACTCTACAAGAGAGGGGGTCTAGTAATGGAGGTGTAGTGTCCCATAACTACTCATTGGATGTGTCCCTTCATGAAGGACTGAAGACATTTATTACCCTGGATCCCTACCACCCCTTCTCAGCCAAGGAAGTGTTATCTGATGATTGACAGTGTCAAACTCTGCAGAGAGGTCCTGAAGGACGATAATGGATGTCTGCGCTGTATCCATTGATAGCAGAAGATCATCCATCATTGCTGTTCAAGCAATCTTAGTTCCATGTCATGGCCTGAATCCAGAATGTGCTGGGTCTAGAATATTAGCTTCAATTAGATGAGATTGTAGTTTGGCTTTGGCTAGCTTCTCTCATTATTTGCTCGAGAACTGGAGCTTTGGCACTAGGTAGTATTTGGTTAGAACAATTTATCCAGGTTGGGTTTCCTCAATGTTGGTCAGACTGTTCAAATTATTATTTCCTTTAAAAGAGAGATAAGGCTAACACAAAGATTACAATTTCTAATTTTACATGATGAAATGAATGAAAGGATCTCTAAGAGGTTTATTGCCAAATGAATGTAATTTTGAATCATAAGAAACTATACTATTGTTAGCATTAGGTTAGTAGGTGATTGAATTTCAGCTTTAAATATAGATGGGTACTTTTAACAGCAATACTGGTCTGGGGCCAGGACTGTAGTATTTCAGTTTTTATTCAAACCCAAGGGTGTCACTTATATTTATATTTGCTTCTTTTTGGCTCTGAACTTCATGACTTCTTTACGCTTATCTGGCTTGACTCACCACTGTATTATTCCACTTATATCTGGTGTAGCCCAGATATTCCAATTGATTTCAGTGGCGTTATCCTTGCAAAAAAACTGGAGTACTGGTATCTGGTGCCCAAAATAAGCGGTGTGGGTGTGCTATGGCTGACCATTAGTTACACTGTCCTTCACCCGCTACTTCCCAAATATAATCAGCTAACTAAACAATTGAGAGCTCTTCCCTCTTCCTCAATACATAAATTCTGTCCCCTTCCATGATTTCTCTTCTGCCATTCCAACCACTGGTCGCCTGCTCCTCTTGAAAATGAGCCAGCAGCCATTCTCTGCACTTCCCCCTCCCTTTTGCCCCCCTCTCCCCCCCCAGATTTCTGCTTCCTTTTTCAATCCTACCTTGCCAGGCCAGAGGCCCTTCTGCTCTTCCTTTCCCCTTCAGTCACAGGCACCTACCTGCTGCCTCCTTGAAATCACAGACTGGCAAGTTCCTTACTCCCTCAGCTGCAGCTTTCCCCTGTTTGGGCCCCTGCTCCGGAGGTGGGGAGGAGGTCTGGATGCTGCTCCGGAGGTGGGGAAGAGGTCTGAGCTGGAAGTGCTCAGTATATTCTATACTCTTTGTGTCTAAAGTTCTTTAGCCCTAAAAGGGATTGAATAGGAAGCCTGTGAGCATGGGTCAGTCTGAGTACTGCCCTATAATTACATCTAGACAAACTGTGTTACAACAACATTAAGGTTGCAGAATCAAGCACCCAGAAGTTAATTAAATGCCAGAGTTAAGGTTGCCTGTGCAAAAAACCTACCTTAAAAACATAACCGTTTCATCCTAGGGAACCATATTGTCCCCCCAACATGGATCCTTGGCAGGGTTCAGAACCACAGCAGAGCCCTCTACCACTTGAGCTAACAGAGTAACTTGTAGGATAACTGTTTGTTATCCTCTGTGTGGACCTGCCACTAGTGAGGTTTGGAGACACACACTTTGATAGTGGGGGTGGCACTAACCAGTCTACACATAGTAGCTGTGAGAGGATGGAGCATGCGCAGTCCAGACAAAATTGACATGATTTAGATAGCATCCTATAATAAGTTTCTACTTAGCAAATGCTTATAATTTGGTCAAATTTGGTTGAATTTTTGTATGGATGGCAAAACACACATCCCTGATACCTCTGTGACCCTGCTGCCAAATTTCAAGTCCCTGCTCCCAAGAATGAAGATGTAGTGGCTTCTCAAAGAAACAGCAGTAAGATATTTTAAGCCTACCTCATTCTCTGAGATGCTGAACTCTTCTAGTTTGGTGAAGTTATAAGCAACCAAAACCAGGGACTGATAAAGGAAAGTGTTTGGCAACCTTAACTAGAGGTAGTGTTTCCTTCACCACCTATAATAAATCTTCTGAACAATAATAGGTCAGCAAAGGGTCGTGTGATGAATCTGCTGATGCTCTTCTGGCTCCTCAGTGGAGAGTGGTAGTGTTTCAAGAAGGGGTAGAGGACAGTAGTGTAGCAGGGGGAAGGATGGTTTGAGAGATGTGGACAGTGATCAAGGCAACTGTTCTTGGTGATAGCTCGGGTGACTGAGCTGGGATTTTCAGGGTTGCCTGTGTGTGATTGGGTCTATCTGATTTTAGCAGTAACAAGACACAGTGTAGATAAAAACATATTTGTACGTGAAAATTACCCCAGACCTAACCCAGTGACGAGTTTTTCACCAACATAAAAAACTGACCCTCTGCAAGATCCTGAAATTGATTGCCCCTTAGCTGAAGGGCAACGGTACTTTCAATGGAAAGAGGAGCTCTCGTGGGGATCTCGACTTCTAACAGCCCCAGCTGCCCCCCTCCCCTGAGTGCACTGTGTATTGTTGCACTGAAAGGGCTGAATATTGCCAGCCCTTCCTCCCCGTTGCCCCACCGCAACTCTGCTGCTTTCTTCATTGTGCTGCTAGAGAGAAGGGGGAAGGTTTGCTACAAAAAGTGTTGGGCGGGATTAGGCCAGAAAATGAGTTTCTTCATCTCTCTGTGTAGTGATGGGATTGACTGGAAATACCTGTCAGTACTCATGAACCCTAAAAATACATACTCTGACCAATTACCTTGTGATGTCATTATCGATAAAAACCACCTCCTGAATGCTAGTTTTTTGTCACAGTACATGGTCATTGTGACACACCGGAGTACAATCCAGACTGATGAGTAGCTGTGATACCCCTGCCCTGTAACCTTGGGTGCCTTACGATGCCTTGCTGAAGGAGTTCCCACATGGGCCACTCAGAAACAGCCTTCCAACATGCAAGGCACACCGTCAGTGCCTGTGCGTAATTGCAGCCTGCCAGCCACACTTGGGTTTCACTCTGGTTCTCCCCAGCCTTGACTATATTGCAGGGTAACCCCGATTCAATACCAGTCTTCGCTTTTCCTCCAGAAACGTATGTCCTGTACTGCCCAGCCCTCTCCTGGACAATACAAATACTGTGTGTTAAGTCTGTTATTTCTTAAGATAAAAATATGCCAACTTGTTATTTCAAATAGTTCTGCAGACACTTCAATTAAACACACTGGATTAATAACGAGTTTTTATTACCTACAAAGAGAGAGATTTGAAGTGAATACAAATAATGAGGCATAAAAGTCAGAAATGGTTACAAGAGAAATAAAGACAAAATGCAGCTAGTATCTAACTTAACAAACTATGGTAAATTCAAAGCAAAGTTTTTCTCACTACATGCTCTCAGCAGTCTTACTGGCCAAACTTCTTGAGCCAGGACCCCTTTTTCAGTTTGATGGCTGCTTCTTTTGTCCTGTCTTGTGTAGTAAATCGATGGACAGAGAAAGGGGGGTCCCTTGGAGGCATTTATATCCTTTTTATAGAGGAGGTCCCTCTCTTAGAAAACATTTCAAGCTGACAGGTTTCAGAGGAACAGCCGTGTTAGTCTGTATTCGCAAAAAGAAAAGGAGTACTTGTGGCACCTTAGAGACTAACCAATTTATTTGAGCATGAGCTTTCGTGAGCTACAGCTCACTAAAGCTCATGCTCAAATAAATTGGTTAGTCTCTAAGGTGCCACAAGTACTCCTTTTCTTATTTCAAGCTGAGATTCAGGAATCTACATGTAAGGATATCTCCTGCTGGTTTTCTCACCTGCTTGAACTCCCTTTGTCTCCCTTCCTGCATGCATGCTTGATGGTCTGGTTACTGCTTAAATGCAAATTAAGCAGAGCATACATTCTTTTGTTTGAGACTGACTTGTTTGCCAATCTCAGCTTGGAACATATGTAAATAACATCATACAGGGAAATCTTGTAACTTCACAAACAATGTTGCCATACACATTTTATCAGGACAATATTGACCAGCAGATTGTGAGACCTCAAATGATACCTTACAAGACATACCTTGTACAAAGATTATAATAATAGGGTGTGGACAGAGGGATACATTCTATCACAGTTATTTAATCTGAATTTGTAACACTGCAATATCATTCCATGGAAATTATTTTTTCATATTGGTAATTCTATCTAAACTGTCATCACCAAAACGTCAGAGAACCTTCCAAATGCCTTTAAAAAGAAATAACAATTTCTCCTTCTTTCTTCCTTTCCAGCTTGTTAGAGAAATAGATTAAGTTATAGTTTGTGTGTGTGCATGTGTAGAATGAACTAGCAGAAAGCTAAGTCAAAGATTAAAGTTTGCATTTAGTTCTGAATGTGCTGAGGTTAGTGAATGTTGTTATTTCCTATAATTCCTTTAAAAGTGTCCATGTCATGATGGCAGCCTCCTCTGGAAGGTTTGGTCAGTAACAAAATATCCTCATGACTTGTGGTACCAAGGTTTTAGTCAACTGATCTGTTTTATCTAATTTATAAATGCCATCAGAATTATTTCACAAGACTGCCTAATTGGCATAGAATAACAGATATCCAATGATTTAACATTTATACTATGTGGTTTGTTTGCTGTAGAAAATGCTCGACTACCTCAAGGACAAAAAGGATGTGGGCTTCTTTCAGAGCCTTGCTGGTCTTATGCAGTCATGTAGGTAAGACAATATCTATTATAATACATCTATTATTTTGTATCTAGATTCTTTTCTACAGGATTTGTAACATCAGTAGAATGTTGGAAGAATTACCTGGTGAGACAGGAAGGAGCACATGCACACACATAGACACACACAAAATTGTTTTCCTTTCATATTCCTAGGGTTTCAAAACAATAATAATTAATTTAATGTATAAACCACTAACTCAAAGCAATATCCGGGTCTTTATAAATAATAACTGAAAAAATTAAACCAAGCTGGGCTAAGCACCCAGAGAACCCTCCCAGCTAAACAGCAACTGGGCCAAAAAATAAAATACAAATACAAAAACGTTTTTGTGGGAGAGAAAAAGGAACATGAAATGACCACAGAGAGAAAAGCCTTTCCTATAAGCCTGGAATGTAGCCATAGTGATCAGGAACAGTCAACATGGATTCATCAAGGGCAAGTCATGCCTGACCAACCTGATTGCCTTCTGTGATGAAATAACGGGCTCTGTGGATATGGGGAAAGCGGTGGACGTGATATATCTTGACTTTAGCAAAGCTTTTGATACAATCTCCCACAGTATTCTTGCCAGCAAGTTAAAAAAGTATGGATTGGATGAATGGACTATAAGGTGGATAGAAAGCTGGCTATCGGGTAGTGATCAATGGCTCGATGTCTAGTTGGCAGCTGGTATCAAGCAGAGTATGCCAGGGGTCGGTCCTGGGGCCAGTTTTGTTCAACATCTTCATTAATGATTTGGATGATGGGATGGATTGCACCCTCAGCAAGTTCATGGGTGACACTAAGCTGCAGGGAAAGGTAGATACGCTGGAGGGTAGGGATAGGGTCCAGAGTGACCTAGACAAATTGGAGGACTGAGCCAAAAGAAATCTGATGAGGTTCAACAAGGACAAGTGCAGAGTCCTGCACTTAGGATGGGACCGAATGGCTAGACAGCAGTTCTGCAGAAAAGGACCTAGGGGTGACAGTGGACGAGAAGCTGGATATGAGTCAACATGTGCCCTTGTTGCCAAGAAGGCTAACGGCATATTGGGCTGCATTAGTAGGAGCATTGCTAGCAGATCAAGGGAAGTGATTATTCTCCTCTATTTGGCACTGGTGAGGCCACATCTGGAGTATTGCATCCAGTTTTGGGCTCCCCACTACAGAAAGGAGATGGACAAATTGGAGAAAGTCCAGCAGAGGGCAAAGAAAATGATTAGGGGGCTGGGGCACATGACTTATGAGGAGAGGCTGAGGAAACTGGGGTTACTTAGTCTGCAGAAGAGAAGAGTGAGGGAGGATTTGATAGCAGCCTTCAACTACCTGAAGGGGGGTTCCAAAGAGGATGGAGCTAGGCTGTTCTCAGTGGTGGTTGATGACAGAACAAGGAGCAGTGGTCTCAAGTTGCAGTGGGGGAGGTCTAGGTTGGATATTAGGAAAAAACTATTTCACTAGGAATGTGGTGAAGCATTGGAATGGGTTACCTAGGGAGGTGGTGGAATTTTGATCCTTAGAGGTTTTTAAGGCCCAGGGCTTGACAAAGCCCTGGCTGGGATGATTTAGTTGGGGTTGGTCCTGCTTTGAGCAGGGGGTTGGACTAGATGACCTCCTGAGGTCTCTTCCAACCCTAATCTTCTATGATGCTATGATAGTGGGACTGTCCTGGGGCTATGCTTATCTCCAGCTTTCAGGCAGGATTATGTAAATCATTGTCTTTTTGAATATTTGTACCCCACTTCTGAGTCCCTGTGACTAATTACACAGCTACTCACCTTGCCAGCTGCCATGACTTATTCCTTGATTTCAGTGTACCCAATTCTGCCACCCTTACAACAAATAGTACCTTATTTTCTGAGTTGTCCCACTGATGTTTACAGGCTGTTAAACCATTTGGAAATGTCTGCTCACCATTTCCCACTCACATTTGCAGTCTAGGGATATTGGATTTTTGGATGTTTTGTGCAAAGAGTGCACTGCACATGGGGCCTGTGATGTGAATTGGAATCCATTTAATTTGGGGGTGAAATTTAAAGTGGTGGTTCTAACATATAAATGACATATGATTTGGGTCTTGTCTACCTTAGCCACAACCTCTCTCCTCACATGATATGACATTTGTAATTGACTGATGTGTCCAAGATAATAGCCTGCAGAGTTAGTGGTAAGGCATTCTCATTGAGGGGTCCTTGACTCTGGAACTCATCTACTCCCATCCTCCAACAGAGCCCAGATTTGAATACCTTCAAGGAACTCTACAAGGGTCATTTCCTCAAGAATTCCAGGGAGGCCTCTGTGTGGGGAGGGAGTTAATAGAATTTTGGAAGGTGGGGAAGGGAACTGAGTCATTTGATTTGGAGTGGACAGGAGGACATTCTATGGTCTTTTTGCAGGTTCGTGTTTCTGAATGTGTTTGTAATAAGCATGCAGTGCATAAATAAATACAATAATTGTATAAAGACACTTGCACAGAAAGTTAAAATTGAGCCCAAGTCACTGTTACATTATGACTGCTATGTTCCAGGCTGGTGAAAAACATCCCTAATCCTGATTTATCTGGCTGCTGGAAGATTCTCTTTTGCACCATCTGCTGCATGACAGATGTCCTAGGGCTTGGACTAACTACTATATTATTTTTTTCTTCCTGAAAATAAATAGCTGTTTTAAGTATTTTTTCATTAAAAGTAGAATATTTTGGAATGATAACAATGGTTATGAAGTTTTGGAAAAATATAAAGATCAATTTGGCAAAGAAAAAAATAAAATATGAAGTGTTCATCAGAAAGTTACAACCCATCTGGGATTGCAGATCATCACCTTTGTTATGTTATCCAAAGAACAAAATAGCTGTCACAATGAGAATCCCTGCAGCAAGGTAGATGAGCCATCAACAAAGTATACAGATTTATGATAAATGGAGCTGTATAATTTCTTCTCTGTGTGGCTCATAGGAGAGCAGGTTGTAAAGTAGGGCACAATGAACTAAACCCAGGGAAGGCAGGAGATGGAGCCATTATGGCATGAACTCTCTCTTCCCCAAACCTATAGAATTCCATGGCACTTTTTGCACCCTGAGGGCAATGATGGAGCTGGTGAAAAGCTTCTCTACCTTGAATGTTTCCTTCCGGTCTCTACAGATTAACGAGTGGAAATCCACATGATAGTAAATACTTCCAAAAACACCATAACTAACCATAGAGACCCCTTTGGCTATGTCTATTTTGCAGAAGATGGTGAGGTGGGGGCGCCAGTAGTAACGCAGCTCCCTCGGGAGTTTGCTGCTTGGGATTAAGCAGCCTAGAGAATAGAGGTTGTCAGCAAAACAGGCGTCTTTCCCCAACCCATTGAAAAATATTTAATTCAAAGTTATTTGAAAATGTTCATTCAAAACGTTTAGATTTTTCCTAGGAAAATTCAAAATGAAATTATATTTTTTTCTTTCTATTCATATTGATTTCCCCCCCAACAGAAACAAAATGCAAACTTGTTTAATTTCCCATCAATAATAAGAAAAATTCTATAGCAAATTACATTTTCTCCACCAAAATAAAACAAACAAAAAAAACATTGATGGAAAAATATTTCAGTAAAAAAAAAAAATCTAATTATCTCTACCATAACAATGTAGAGATGTTGGCCTGCTGTGCTGATGCCATCTGGATTTCAGAGTACATCCGCATGGTACTACAGACCTTTAAACATCTTAGTAAACCAAAATAAATTGAAAATGTAAAAATACATTGGGTGAAATGAAGGGAATCGTGCTTTATGGCTGGGGGTGGGGTGGGGGGGAGAGGTTGAAAACTGCTGCAAAAGCCCCGAGGAATGCAGGGTTTAAAAGGGGCAGCTCTGCGCTTCAAGTCTCCCTTTTACATGGAGCAGGCTGAAGCAGGAGGGCACACAACACTTCAGCATGTCTCAGCCGCATGGCTCCATGTAGAACAGAACAGTAAGAAAAAGGGGGAAGCTCCCCAGTAATTATGGCATAAACCTGCACTGTACAGTTTTATCTGCCAGGTAGTCCCAGACATCCCATAATAAAGTTGGGGTCTGATTAAATCCATATAAAATGTTTCCTGTCCTCCTTTCGGTGTGGCAAGACAGTGACCTGTGTGGGCTTACACAACTATGTAATTTCCCAGTAGATAATGGGGGACTATGTGTACACGCAAATAATAATGTATTATTTTTATGACGTGAGATATGTAGATAATATACATATACTTTCTTTTTCAGTAAACCATAATGAGCTGCATTCTGCTAACATTTCCACATTAAACCCAGTGTAATTTAATTGACTTACTGGAATTTCTCCAAATGTGCAACCATGTAACTGAATTTGGCCCATTGTTAAAGAATGGCGTACCTGGCTTTAGTGACATTACATTTCAGTTATCTCCTAAACTCTATTTCCCATCTTCCAGCTAAGATGATAATTATATTTCTAAGTTTAATTCCATAATTTTGAAAATCAACAAGATACAATTTTGGATTTGTCAAAGAATCTAAATGCTATATTGTTTTTCTCATTGCAGCGTTCTTGACCTAAATGCATTTGAACGCCAAAACAAAGCAGAGGGCCTTGGCATGGTGACAGAAGAGGGATCAGGTATTATTATCTTATGAAAATAACCTTTTTCTTTTTACTGTTCTTCATCAAAGCTGTATAGTCAAGGACCCTTGTAAATCTGCACCAAGATATTTAAGCGTGAAGTTGAGATGTTATTTCTTCAGATAGTTTATAATTTAACTGGCCTACTTTAGACTGTACTAGACAATAAAAGATCAGTAGAGCACGTTTGAGAGTGAGGGAATGTCTCAGAGGAATGCAGGATAACATTTTGAAGTAGCAAAAAAAATATTATGAATAAATTTGAAAGGAGATTCCAATCACAAACAGCAGTGTTTATATCAAACAGCTTCGAAATCGCTAACCAGTTTCAGCATAAAATAAAATGAAGGGCTCCCAACTGATTTATTAAATTATCTCCGGTTGAATGAAAAATAGACAATTTAGCAAGCAATACATTAAATATCAGAGGTCCGAGGAACAGTAGCTGCTGTTTGGAAGACATTGGTTGTGAAAGTTTCTGTTTTACAGTGTAATTTGTCTTTTTGGGAAATATTCTGATATTTTATGTTTACTTCTGATTTTGAAACAGTTTGGGTTTTCTACCTTCTGTGTGGTCAGTTCATTGCTAGTTTCTTTCTTTTGTCACATAATGTGTTCTGTCATCCTATTAGTGTGGTTGTCTGGAACCAATAGGGTAATTTTTTTATGTGATAATAGTGCTACCAAAGCACATTTTCTCTATTCCCAATTACATTCTTCATTCATAATATTTTGTGTGTGTTTAAATCCTACAACTAGCTAATCCTGTTATATGTTTTTATTCTTAAAAACAAGGGAAAAAAAGCTTGACTGTATATTCATTATTGTATTTTGGAGGTCGTAATTCATACCTGCTTCACTGCGTATGTCTTTGGCTAGTGTGCCTGTAGCTGTTTTACATGACATATTTCTTGATTGTTCAAGTTCTTGCATCACATTGTTTAATTTGACTGAATGCCTTTAAGACAGATCACAAGTACTTTTCTAAAATTATTTTCTCTTACAGCAAAAGTGCTCCCATAGCTTAATAAATTGTAGGTCATATCCTCCTTGCCTGACTCATTTGAGTAATCTCATTAAAGTCAATTTACATGAATAAACTTTGACCCCGTGACTCTGGATTGTGCATTCACGAAGTGCTGTCTGTCTTGTAAGGCATAGGCTGGTTTGACCATTGCTTTCATGTTTCTCTGCAAATTATTCTCCAGAATGTTTGGACATTCTGGGCATAAGTTCCATTAATATATATATTTTGAAATTATTATTAATAATTTTGGCTTTTGAAATGGGTTTTTTGATACAGGATCATTTTTCTTTTAATCATCTACCAAAGTTATTAGAAATTACAAATTTGGCATGCAACTATAAACTACCCTTTGACAACTGCATAAGTGACTCTTCTCATATCAAGGTATTTTCATGCTGCCTCATCTGAGAATTTTTTGGTTTGTTTGTTTGTATTTGCTCTTTCTCTTTAGTGCAGAACTAATTCGCCAAAACCAATACTGAGTATGTTTTGTATCTGCTAAAATCAAATTCTCAACTTTTTTTTTCTTTTTTCCTGTTTTCTTTTAACTAAATGTCCTGTCCTCCCTTCCTCAGTCATCACTCATGAGCGTGGTAATTATTAAAACAAGCTGCCTTTTATTTATTTTTTCCTGTTGTTAGCTTTGTGTCAGCACTGTACAGCTCCTGAACACCATGAGTTTTTTTTTTTGTTCCTATGTGGCTTTTAAACAAGTGGATTCTTTTCTATTATTATAATTGTGTACTCCAAACTCTTCCGTTTTTATGCCAACTTTCCCCACTTCTTTGTTCTTCCTCCCTTTCTCAGGATTTGCACAGTAACTGGCACACTAGATGTAAGAGCAGCAAGCTTTTTTTTTAATTTATTTGATTTATTTTTCTGTTTGGTTGTTGTTTTTTTAGTGGGCCCAGTATTTGCAATGGTTGGATGTTTTTTTAAAAAAGTATATATCTGTATATATAAACCCTTGTGCTGTAGTATTTTTGTTGTGCATTTAATGTGGCTTTATCGCTGCATTGATTTTGTGCAATCACAGGAAATCAGTGGTGGATCCAGAGAGGGCTGGAGGTTGGGATAGAAAGGAGATGTTGGCTGCCACTGGCTAGGTTTACACTATGCAGTCAGAATTCATTTTCTACTACAGTACTTGCCAAAGTAGCTGATAGTTTAAAAACAAAACAAAAAACACCTCTGCTATTTCTTTTCAGGGTTATATCAGGATGTTACCAGTTATTCCTGATAATTTGCCACTTTGAGAGCTTTTTCATACAACAGAGAAAATGTGTATCCCTTAGAGGCAAGGAGTAACAGTAATTCATCTGTCACTGAGCACGCTCACTTTAATTCACTGAATGTGAGTTATAGGCAGCCCAATGCCACTGGTATTAATGCCTGATAGCATTATGAAAGCCCAGCCATTGTGTCTGGAGGAGAAATGATAGATTCTGCTGTGAATGATTGCTAGACTTCTATATTTTATGGGGTAGCTGAGCTCTCATAATTGCTAGCAATCCTACAAATACCCATCTAAAAAGTCCTTCCAAGACAGCACCAAGGTTTAGACTGGGTGACCCAGGGAGAATATATTTTTTCCATTCCGTTTTACAGGACAGATACTTACTCCAAGATTCAGAAGCATGTGGTTGATTGTTAGGGGAATGGAGTGAGGTCCAGAGTACATACTATAACCTGTTCCTTACGACTTCTACATTTGATGCAGGCATTTTTCAGTGAGTTATTAACTTGTTATTACTGACTATGAGCCTGAATCAGTTTTCACTCCAGTCAGTTCTAAAAACTCCTGTTGACTTCAATGGGAGTAGGCTTTGACCTCTAGCTAGCGGTGGTGTTCTGTAAAACTCGATTTCTTTTCCCATCTCCACATTGGCATTAGCAGAAAATCCTGCAGTGAGTTAAGATGGATGTAAGATTTATTGCCCTTTTCCAACTCTTCTCTTTGTGCTATCACCACCTAAGCTCCTTGTCCTGATTCCTCTTTCACTAGTACCACCTTCCTGTACAAAATCCTGGAACCCCCACTGGTAAAAACACTGACGGTTCTTCAGCAAATGTGTTTCTTACTTGTTTTTGTGGTGTACTTAATGTTGTATCTTTCTGTATGTATATTTGTTTTGATTGTCATGTTTGTTTTACAAAAAAAGGTTCAGAATCAAAGTCGCACAAATGTTCATTATCCCATCTGATGGTTTTCCATTTTTCATTTAATTCTCTCTGTCTATACTGTCTCACCATGATCATGATAACCTTGAAAGTGCAATTTTTCTCTCCTCCCAAAGCCCTTTCTTTAGTTAACAGATAATGGAATGCATTTGCTTAATCTACACTTGCATTATCTTGCTATTGTTGGGCACTCTTCTCGTACAGGATTTTTTTTTTCTTTTAACAAGACTTCACAAAGAAACTTGAATATGTTCTTGGGTCAGAATGATTTTTCCTAAACCTGATTCACAATTAGCTGGTGAGGAAACTTCTGTAAAACTTACTTGCCATTTGAAACACATACCCTCCTATATGACTGGCGTGGTTTGCCTAAAATCATTATTGTTGTTTGTGATGTATGGTTAAATAGATCAAACTTACAATGCAGCAAGGAAAAGAGAGTTTGGGTCAGGCTACTGGAGTTCTGCTTTAGCCAAATACAATATCCCTGAAATACTAATCACTTTGAAATCTGTTGATATTAACAACAATAATACTCTTGACACCTTTTATTTGAAAACTTTAAATGGCTTTACAAACAATTAAGCCCCACAAACCCCTCTAAAATAGGTAACCATAATTATACCCATTTTATAGATGGATAAATAAAACAGTGAAATTAAGTGATTTCCCCAAGATGACATAGCAAGTCATTTACCCAAGTTGGGAAAAGAACCCAGAAATTCTGACATCCACTTTCTTCCTTTAACCATCAGACTGTGCAGCTATCCTGTTAAGAGTTTCAATAGAAGATTGATTAGCAGTCTCCTTAAAAACATAGACTTACTACAATTATCTGAGATTGATTTTATTTTAATTGGAGTTAATATTCATATTCTTCATTTAATACAATCTCTACAACCTATTAAATAGTAGTATGTTTGAAAAAAATACTAAGATTTAGAGGAACTTCTTTACTAATTGAAAATAGATTTTTAGACCCATTTTTCATTTCATTAAACCTTTTGTGAATCTTGCCCTTTGTTAGAGGAATATTGTAATTGCATTTGACTGATCTCACTTGAGAGACAGCTTTAAAATACTGCCATGTAATTTTAAATTACAAAGGATAACAATACTTTATTTCTGATGCCTGACAATATTTGTCATGTGCTACAGTGTCACCTTTGGTTCAAGGCCAGTTGATTTTTATCTTCAGAAGACTCTCAAATTTCCACAACAGCATTTCTATAGAAAGGACACTTAAACAGTAGTTGAGGGCTTCACAGGCAAAACTCTACTTGTTTTCTCAGCCGTATTGAATAATCCATTCATTTTTAAACTATAAAATGGAATGAGGTTTAGAGAGATGCATAAAACTATTGTTAAAATTGTTAACTTTTAGAATGGTGTTCTTTAAGAACATAAGAATGGCTGTACAGAGTCAGACCAATGGTCCACGTAGCCCAGTATCCTGCCTTCCTACGGTGGCCAATACCAGGTGTTTCAGAGGGAGTGAACAGAACAGGTAATCATCAAGTAATCCATCCCCTGTCGCCAGTTCCCAGCTTCTGGAAAACAAAGGCCAAGGACTCTTCAGAGCATGGTTTTGCATCCCTGCCCATCCTGCCTAATAGCCATTGATGGACCTATCCTCCATGAACTTAAAGTTTTAAACTAGTGCTTTTAAAAATCCTTTTATAGTCTTGATCTTCACAGCATCCTCAGGAAAAGAGTTCCAGGGGTTGAAAGCATTGTGTGAAGAAATACATCCTTTTGTTTGTTTTAAACCTGCTGCTTATTAATTTCATATGATGACCCCTAGTTCTTGTGTTATGAGAAGGAATAAATAACATTTCCTTATTTGCTTTCTCCACACCAGTAATGATTTTATAGACCTCTATCATATTTCCCCCTTAGTCGTCCCTTTTCCAAGCTGAAAAGTCCCAGCCTTATTAATCTCTCCTTATATGGAAGCTGTCCCATACCCCTAATATTTTTGTTGCCCTTTTCTGAACCTTTTCCAATTCCAGTGTATCTTTTTTTGAAATGGGGTGACCACTTCTGCACACAGTGTTCAAGATGTGGGCATATCATGGATTTATAGAGAGCCAATATGATATTTTCTATGTTATTATCTATCCCTTTCCTAATGATTCACAACACTGTTAGCTTTTTTGACTGCCACTGCACCTTGAGTGGATACTTTCAGAGAACTATCCACAATGACTCCAAGATCTCTTTCTTGAGTGGTAACAGGTAATTTAGACCCCATCATTTTTTATGTATAGTTGGGATTATGTTTTCCAATGTGCATTAATTTGCAGTTATAAAGCTGAATTTCTTTTGCCATTTTGTTGCCAGTTACCCAATTTGGTGAGGTCCCTTTGTAACTCTTTGCAGTCTGCTTTGGACTTAGCTACCTTGAGTAGTTTTGTATCATCTGAAAATGTTGCCACCTCACTGTTTATCCCTTTTTCCAGATCATTTATGACTGTGTTGGATAGGACTGGTCCCAGTACAGGCCTCTGAGGGACACCACTATTTACTTTTCTTCATTCTGAAAACTGACCATTTATTCCTACCCTTTGTTCCCTTATCTTGTAACCAATCACTGATCCATGAGAGGACCTTCCCTCTTATCCCATGACAGCTTACTTTGCTTAAGAGACTTTGGTGAGGGACTTTGTCAAAGGCTTTCTGAAAATCTAAGTACCCTATATCAACTGGATCACCCTTGTCTACATGCTTGTTGATCCTCTGAAAGTATTCTAGTAGATTGGTGAGGCATGACTTCCCTTTACAGAAAACATGTTGACTTTTCCCCAACAAATCATGTTCATCTATGTGTCTGTTCTTTACTATAGTTTCAAACTATTTGCCTGGTATTGTAGTCAGGCTTACCGGCCTGTAACTGCCAGGATCACCTCTGGAGCCTTTTTTAAAAATTGGCATCACATTAGCTATCCTCCAGTCATCTGGTACAAAAGCTAATTTAAATGGTATGTTACATACCACAATTAGTAGTTCTGCAATTTCACATTTGAGTTCCTTCAGAACTATTGGGTGAATACCATCTGGTCCTGGTGACTTATTATTGTTTAATTTATCATTTTTTTCCAAAACCACCTCTAATGACACCTCAATCTGGGACAGTTCCTCAGATTTTTCACCTAAAAAGAATGGCTCAGCTTCAGGAATCTCCCTCACACCCTCAGCCATGAAGAGTTAGTTTCTTTGCAATGGCCTAATCTTCCTTGAGTGCTCCTTTAGCATCTTGATCGTCCAGTGGCCCCACTAGTTGTTTAACAGACTTCCTGCTTCTGATGTTCTTTAAAAAATAAATTGCTGTTACTTTTTGAGTTTTTGTCTAGCTGTTCTTCAGATTCTTTTTTGACCTTCCTAATTATAGTTTTACACTTCACTTGCCAGA